GGAGCAACGACCAGGGAAGCAACTGTCTCAAGGGAGCAATTGTCAGGGGAGCAAGTGTCGTTGGGGAGCAAGAGTCGTTCGGGAGCAAGTGTCGCGGGAGCCACTGTCAGGGAAGCAACTGCCAGGGGAGCAAGTGTCCGGGGAGCAACTGTCGTGGATTCCCTTTTCGTAGATTAATTGTCAATTATTTAATCCTCAATTTCTATTTTGATAGTTTTACTGTCGGATCCGCCTCAATAAGCTTATTTTCATCTATTTTGCCTCTACTAAAAGAGAATATCTTTAATCTTAGGATGCAATCTGATTTCATTTGCTACAGACAACTAAGTTCCTTTGTTTCTATTTATTCTACAGTTGATTTTTTACGCAAATTTGCTCTTAATGATAGTATTGTATACAAGGGTATACGTTATAGAACAAAAACAACAAACATAAATGATTCATGTGTTTTATTTGAAGGATCTAACACAAGCAATTTACATTTAGGATATATAGTTGGTATATTATTAAAATCACCACGCTAAAATGATGGTATTTCGAAAATAAGAGAACCCAAAAAACTTTTATATTGTAGTGTACATTGTCATCTCTTCTGAAAGACCACCATTTAAGTAATAAGAAACTTCTTTAACTTCGGTTTTTGAATGTAGATTTTCGTACTGTTTTTCTAGAACATATCTAGATATTTGGCGAAAGTTGCCGGCTATATACTCTACAAATTTTAACTACTTCTAACAGTTTTAAGATGAACAGAATAGAAAAATGTAACCTTCACTTGATTCTATACTATATATTTTTCTATGTTTAAGTTTTTCTAGTATTTTCGTTCTCCGCTGTTTTAACTAGTATGTATATTCATCTCTCTTCTAAATTCACAGTCATATTAGCCTGATGATGATACTGTGAAGTATCGAAAGCTCGCTTCTTGTGTAAAATGATTTTACAAAAATGTTTTTAATTATTTTAAATATACTTAGATATTTATCACGCACATACACTAATTTACCCGCATCATTTTTGATTATGACACGACCTGCGCGAGTAAATACATCTTTCTTGCGTTCGGGAGGTAAATTTCGCCTTAATAGATATAGTATATCTAAATTACGTTTTGTTACGTCTTCGTAGACAGATACATTTGTTGATTTATATATAAATTTACGATTGACTAGTAATGTATGAACAACTTCCCGTGAATAGAATTTTGCTATAACTGTACGATGCTTTTTTTAATTTTCCCACGTGATATGCTACTTCAATTAAATTTATATCAACACTTTGAATACCAGATTTTTGAGCAGCCTGAACAATAGTATTTTTCAATAAATACACCGGTACGCTGTTGTTAATTCTATCGAATCTAAGATTGTATGATCTCGAATAACGTTCGAAATCATTTATTTTTTTTTCAATTGGTAGTACACGTTTATCTATGTATTGCTGTATTGGTTCTACAAGATGTGTAGCCAAATGTTCCAAGCATAAGTTAAAATCATTGCTATTTTTATCTAATAAATCACGTAGATCATTTTGTAATTGAACATCATCGCGTACACTTGTAATTATTAATTCTTTTAAATCAATATCTGGATGTTCTAATGTCATGAGTGATGATGGTTTACACTATTCTTTGCCTCTTTTAATGTTAACCATTGTTAGACAAACATAAACGTGGGTGAGGAAGAAGAAGAAAAACAACTTTCACATACACATAGAATACACAAGAACTTCATGTTCTCTCGTCAAGAAATCGATGTTTCTTCACATGAACTTCATGTTTTCTCCTGTTAAACTCCGTACTTTTCTTCGCAAGAACTTCAATGCTTTTCCAGGAGAACTGGGTGGTTAACTTGTTTTCTCATGGAAAGCTAGGTGTTTCTTCACAGGAACTTCATGTTTTCTCCTGCTAAACTAGGTGCTTCCTCGGAAGAAGTTCACCACTTTTCCAGAAAAAGTGGGTGGTGCTTCACCTCTTTTCCAGGAAAAACTGGGTGGTTCTGCACAAGAACTTAATGTTTTCGTCTAAAAAGCCTGAACGCTTCTTCACAAGAACTTCATGTTTTCTCCTGGAAAACTTGGTACTTCCTCGCGAGAACTTCACGTCATTTCCAGGAAAACTGGGTGGTTCTTCAAAAGAACTTATGTTTTTTCCTGCAGAAACCGGATGTTGCTTCACAAGAACTTCACCTCTTTTCCTGGAAAACACGGGGCTTCTTTACAAGAACTTCATGCTTTCTGCTGGAAAACTTATGGCTTCCTCGCGAGAACTTCACCTCTTTTCCAGAAAACTTGGGTGGTTGTTCACAATACCTTTTCTCTTTGAGAACTGAGCGGTTCTTCACAAAAACTTAGACTCATTTCCAGGAAAACTGCGTGGTTCTTGACAAGGGCTTCATGTTTTTCTCCTGCAGAGAAGAACTTCATGTTCCTCTCCTCTTTGCTGGACGCGTCCTCCCGAGAACTTCACCTTTTTTCCTGTAAAACTCGGCGCTTCTTAACAAGACTTAGACTTAGACTTAGACATTTATTTGACAACAAAAAAGTAAAAAGAACCAATACAATAAACTAAATTCAAATGAGGTTGTTGCAGGGGAAAAAACAGAAAAAGCGCATACTACCCTTATTAGACGGTGACCCTTCTAATTTCGACAAAGAAAATAAACAAAAGAACGAGAGAAAGATAAAGAATTAAAGCTCTAAGAAGTTCTTTAGTTTGTGCTTGAACAAACGTATGCTGTTAGCTGTAACCACATGCTCTGGTAAGCCATTCCACTCAATTGCCGTTTTACATTCAAAACAGAATGTAGGCAACATATTCATTTTTTTTTTAGAAATTTTTTTAAATTTTATAATATAATAGATTTCTGTGAAATAATTTGGCTGGAAGATCTCTAGACAAAATTGAAATTCGAACTTTGACTAAAAATAATAAAGCAAAATTAGAATTTTGACATTATTTTCATGTAATGTCGGATTTAATCTTAACAATTTTTGTCCCCTAAATAGAATTTCACGAATCAATTTCATAAATCAAGTCTGTCCTATGATGGAGTATGTCCAACTAACATTTTCTTTCGACACTTGTGGTGATACCTGTACGACAAATCATCCGTCAAGGCAGGGAATAATCGATCAATTTTATGCGAAGTTATGCTTAATGCTTCTCTATTTCGTAGTACAAAATGATCAAGTCTCTGTAACAGAATGAGGATTCGAGGTACAAGGTTTGATTTTGATAAAATGAAATGATATACAGACGAATATAAACACTTGACATCAGTCATCTATCTATGTCGAAAAAAATGGGAGAAGCAGAGAGATAAAAAAGAAAAATATTTCAAGCTTTTAACAAAACGGTATGAAAGAGTAAAATGTACCAACTGTGAAAGAAAAATAACGACGCCCATAAATACTGAACAAAAAGAAGAAAAAAGATGATCATGCCATATGTATGTCAAACAAAGAACAAATATCAGACGATACAAGAAAAGAACTAGTATAACAACGATAACATTTAGTACAAAAATGAATTTCTCTTTCTTCTTGTGACGACGACTATTCATGTGTTACAAGGCGATTTTGCATAAATAAGGCAGTTCGTTTCGTCTTCAATATAATTTTACTTGTAAAGAGGTTAAATATTAATGGGATTATTACTCGAAAAAAGTAAGAGCTCTCAAACGCTTTCTGCTAAATTTATTTTCTGGTGTCGTAACAATTTTCTGCTATTGAAAATCGCTGGTATTGATGTTGTCTGTTGTACTAAGAGTAGGAAACCGGTGTGTTTGTATGGTATTAGTGTACTGGAAGTACCGACCATTTTTTACCACAACTTTTTTAATATTTTTTCGTTTGAAATGAAATATTTTCGTGTCCTGTACAGCCACAAAGAATAGACACCAAACAAGAGCTTTTTTTGCTTTCTCGAGCCAGAGTTTTTCTTTTGTGTGTACTCAAAAAGTGAGTACACTATAGAATCGATCAGTGTATCCGTCTCTCCGGCCGTTTACACGATAACTCCTAAAGAATATGAACGATCGTAATGAAATTTTGTATTTGTGCTCACTGCAACATGTTGCTGTATAAGGAAACATACCCTCAATTCTTTTTTCGATCTGGGTAATTCTTTTCACATCATATCACCATTACATGAAGGTGCAGTGCAAACCTGGAGACGTACCTCATTCGAAAGAGACTTCAATTCTGAGTAAGAATATCACATTTAAAAATTTCCCAAATCTCAGCGGAGAACCTAGTGGAAGTTTTGGTTTTCTAGAATACCGTTTCAGATTCGATACTTTTTTTTTGAATCGTACTATCGGATAGAGCGTCTTTTGGTCTATAGAATGAGGTATTTTTGAGGCTTTCAATCTTCTTCGGTAGCGAATATCAGCGTAAACGTGCAAAGAAGTTATTTACACCAAAAAAGTCCGTGTTATTTAGAATTTAGAATTTTCGTATTATAATTTCAAACTCCTTGTAACTAAGTGGTTTCTTAATATCGAAGATGTTATGTTAGCAATATCGAAACGTTTAGTTATATCTATTAACACACAACTCGCAAGTTTTCTGGACAGCTAAACCGGACACTAATAGTGCATTTTCATCGTTTCCTGTAGACAATAGGAATATTGTTGTTTTTGAACGTAGTTTTGTCTATTAAAACTAAAAGAAAAATTAAAGTAGAAGCTTAACTGGCAATTAACTGACGAAAAAGTTCAACTTTTCATAAACGTCGTTCATTTCACTTCATGCTAAATAAAATGTTTTATTGAAAACAACCCAGCTGACATCAACTACTCAGCATTGAATAGTCACGATTATATCTCAATACAGTCAATGGGTGCATTAGTGCAGAATTTATTTTGGTACTATTTCTGAGTTTTTCCTATTTTAACGTACATTTGCCACTATTGGATGACATTACGATAAAAGAATGAAATTATTCATTGTGTTCTTCTCCACTGTTCTTTCTTTCCCATTATATAAACTTAACCTGCAAATTTATGATAAAGTTGTCGACTCTATAATACATAAGAAACCATTCACTTGAAATATCAAATATTTATCCCTTTAATTTCGACTTAAATGTCTAATCTCAAGAGTTTCATGAGTCTATGAAGTAAAGGAACAAATATTTGATATTTCAAGTGAATGGTTTCTTATGTATTATAGAGTCGACAACTTTATCATAAATTTG